TCCTCTGTTCACTGCCTCAGGTATTCTCCGTTGGTCAGTCCCCCACCCCCCAATGCAGACTATCCTAGCCACACTCCCCTGTCCGCATTCAAAGCCCACAGTAAGAACAGTCCCAGTTCGTCACATCACCTCAAAGGCTGTGAGCTCTTCCATTCTTTCGTGGGGTGCTCTTGAGAGGGTCTGCAGGCTTGATGTGCCCTTTGGGGGCGGATTCTCAATTCAAATCGCATGCATTTCATAGAAGATCAGGGTTGGAAGGGACCTCAGGAGGTATCTAGTCCAACCCCCTGCTCAAAGCAGGACCAATCCCCAAATGGGCCCCCTCAAGGATTGAACTCAGCACCCTGGCTTTAGCAGGCCAGTGCTCAAACCACTGAGCTATCCCTCCCCCCCCCGTTTGCGAAATCCTGGGAGTCACATCCCAGACCCCAGAGTCTGTGAGTGAGGAAACTCTTGGGTGTATAGGCGCCAACTTTCTCCAGCGCCAGTAGGTGCCCCCGCCCCTTTCCCAACGCCCCTGGCCCCACCCCCATCTCCAAAGTCCCTGCCCTAACTCTGCCCCCTCCCTGCCCCTATTGGATCCCTTCCCCAAATCCCCGCCCCAGCCCCGCCTCTTCCCCCAGCGTGCCTTGTTCCCCCTCCTTCCCGCCCCACGAATCAGCTGCTTCGTGGCACAAGTGCTGGGAGGGAGAGGGGAGAAGCAGGACGCGGCGGTACGCTCGCGGAGGAGGCGGAGGTGAGCTGGAGCAGGGGGGCAGGGCGGGGAGCTGCCAGTGGGGGCTGAGCACCCACCAATTTTTTTCCGTGGAGTCGGCGCCTATACTTGGGTGACATTCCTATCCCTTGTGCCAGCAGGGCACTGGCTTCTGTTCCCAGGGCGCGGCTCTGCCTTTTCTGCAGGGCCCTGGACGATAGACCTGCTGCTGCCTCTGAGAAGCCCACCCAGGAGAATCTACTCCCCATCTTGGTGCCTGCCTCTGAGGCGGCCGTGGGGCACGACAAACCTTTTCTCCTTCCGCACTTCTAACAGGCTTTCCGGGAAAGGCTGGGTCCTGGACCAGACGAGCATCTTCGCTCAAGTGGACGCCTTCGTTCAGCGCTGCAAAGACCTCCTGGAGGTACGTGGCAGTGGCACGTGGTTCCCCCCGCGTGCTGACAGGACTAGGGACGTGGCCTGGGATGATAATCTCCCTGCAGCATTGGCCCCCTGCCGTCGTTGTGAGAGGAGGCTGCATCTCAGCCTGACAATTACTGGTGTTTCATTTACTTGGAGCCAACGGCTGCTCTCAGGTGCAGCAGGACAAATCCATCTGTTTCCATGACAGAGCGGTTTGGCGCTCAGCGGTTCGTACCGTGCCTGAGACAAGTAGCAGGTGCTGTGTAGTGATCAGTCTGGCATCAAACTCTCCTCACACCGAAAGCACAAGAGCGTGATGTGGGGAGCTGTGCGGGAGGTACCCAGCCCTATGTCACAGTGGGGACCCTCACAAGGAGGTAGCCAGCCCTGGGTGGTGGTGGGAACGCAGCCTTCTGCATCAGCTGGAGTTTTCAGAGTGTCTGGTTGTCCCTGACGCTCCAGGCAGCTTTCACGACAGTGCCCCATTCTGGTGGGGATATGTGGGCAACTGGGGCAGACACTCCTTCCCCGCAGCACATGCAACAGCAGCACATTGTGCATACGGTCCTGGCGCCCGCCTTGGTCTGCAGACTCAGGCAGCCCCAGCGCTTGGCTACACTTCAAACTCTGCAGCGGTACTTCGGTGAAGACGCTACCTATGCTGGTGGGAAGGGTTCTCCAGTCAGCGCAGACGCTCCCCCTCACCGAGAGAGGGTAGCTAGCTTGAAGGGAGAATTCTGTCTACACTGGGGTTAGGCTGGTTTAATTCTGGTGCTCAGAGGTGTGGATTTTTCACACCTCTGAGTTGTCCTAGTGACCTAATTTCCTAGTGTAGACTTACCTGTGGCTTTACATTGTAAGATCTTTGGGAGAGGGACTGTCTTTTTTGTTCTTGGCTGCAGAGCACCTAAGCACAGTGGGGTCCTAGGATGTGCCCAGAGCTCCTAGGTGCAGTGGTTTGAGCATTGGCCTGCTAAACCCAGGGTTATGAGTTCAGTCCTTGAGGGGGCCATTTAGGGATTTGGGGCAAAAATCTATCTGGGGATTGGTCCTGGTTTGAGCAGGGGGTTGGACTAGATGACCTCCTGAGGTCCCTTCCAACCCTGATCTTCTATGATAAATGGGTAGCTGAAAGCCCGAGCTGTCACATGGTTGTGGCAGTTGGGCCAAGGAATCCACTATGTGTCTCATACAGCCAATTAAATTGTTGCATGCAAATTAGCTGTAAAGTAAGGGTGGTGGTTGAATCATAGACCCGTAGGACTGGAAGGGACCTGGAGAGGTCCTCCAGTCCGGTTCCCTGCACTCAAGGGCCACCTCTACACCCTAGACGTTCCCTGACAGATGTTTGGTTGATATCACGGACTCTGGGCATGGCAGATACATGCCTTGCTTTGCACAGGTGTAATTTGTAAAGTCAGAATAGCTGGGACCTTAAAAATTGGGTGGTAGCAGATGGCAAACCCCAGTGATGGTTGAACCTGGTGATATTCTGAACAGCAAGAGCTCCCAAGCATGTTTGTAGGTGTTTCCATTCCTCCTAACTGACTCAACAGACATTCAAGGCCCTGGAATCTTATTATATAGATAACGATAATAACATGAGGGTGGGTGGCTGCCCTGCCAAGATGGGATGGGGTTGAACTACATCTCCCAGCAGCCACTAGGTGCTCCCACAGCCTAGAAATGTGTCCGCAGCCAGTCAATGGGGGTGAGGGTGGGATGCATGCCGAGCAATGGGAAAGCAAACCCGAAAATGCGGTGGTGCACTTGCCAACAGGTTTGCGACTGCCAGCAGCACTTCGCCCGCTGGGAGGACGGGAAGCAGACCCCGCTGCCCTGTTTCTTTGGGCACCGGGGTCCCCAGATGACCCGGAACCTGCTGGAGATAGAGGAGACCTTTCAGAAGCACCTGCACACCCTGCGGAACATGAAGGGGGGGATCCTGGACGTGAAGAACACGTTCTGGCACGAGGATTTTAACCGGTGAGAGGGGGCCCTCAGCTCGCAGGACCAGGTGGCAGAGTCTTCCCCCTCTGGCAGCTCTCGCAGTGGGCATGGGGGTCAGCTCAGTGTGCTGAGACTGCATGGGTCAGGCCTGGACTAAGAGCATTGGCAGGGGCCTGAGCTGGCAGGGACGGATTGGCCCCATTTCCTACCCCCGTGTCCAGCAGTGGAAGAATGGAATCAGCTCCGTGTCACAGAGGCACTCCCTCCGTATCGTCAGGTCAAGAGGGCAGGAGGTTACAGACGGATCCACTGTCACAGAGCAAGGGATGGTGGATGAGTGGACAGGGGGACAGGGAGTCGACTCCTGGGTGGGGGCGATACGTTGCAGGGGGCGAGACTGTGTGAGTGGTAGGCATGCTGGGAAAAGTGGAGTCACGGCCTGGTGGGGTGGGGTGGGGGTGTTGTCCCAGCAAGGTGGGGATGAATTTGTGTCCTCTGTTTGCTGTTTCCCTTCCCGCCGGCCTGACGTGCTAGGTTCCGCTCTGGCGTCAAAGACCTGGAGGTGATGACCCAAAACCTGATCACCTCGGCCTTCGAGACGGTGCGGGACGTGGAGCATGGCGTGGAGATCCAGGACATCTTCCACCACCTCTCCGCACGAGAGGTACGGGGCCGGTGCCAGGACCCTGGCAGAGCGCTGTGTCCTGAAGATAAGTAACCTTTCAAGACACAGATGCCAAACTCCTAGCCAGCTATTGACCGGCTAGCTGGGAAGTTTGGAAGCTCCTGGAACAGGGGAGATTGGGGTGTCCGTGGGGAACAGCCTCTGGACCAGGTGGTTCTGAGTGGGGGCAGTTCTCAGACATGGCCGTCAGGGGGTGCAGGCTTGTTGTGAGCTGTGGGAAGGCTGCTCCCAGACTGGTCTGCTGGGGAGTACGGGTTATGTCAACGAGTGCATCTTCCAGGGAAGTTGGGGGGACCAGCCCCTAGATGGGGAGTGGGTTGCTGGTGCAGCTGCTGCATTGCGTGGGCTAGTGGCGTTGGCCCAGCGCCTCAAACCCCTATGGAGCTCCGCTGGCCTCTTCCCTCCCCCAGGCCATCAAGCGCACCTTTGACAAGAAAGCCGTGGACGTCTACATGCTGTTCAACCGAGAGCTCTCCCTGGTCAACAAGGAGCTGAGCAAGAAGCTACCGTTCCTGCCGCCGCACATGTGCCATTATTCAGGCCTGGCGCACTGGCTGCGGGCTCTGCGCCGGCGCATCGACAGACCCCTAAAGGTGAGGATCCCACATCCATGGCAAGACCCCTGTTCCAGCGTCCATGTCTCCCTGTCTCATGCCCCCACGTCAGGGGCCCTTTCTACCTCTGGCGAATGGGACAGAGCTTTCCTTGGGGGCCTGTTTGCAGCTGATTATGGGGCAGTGTCGAGAGAGAGAGAGTGTTCTTGGAGAGACACTCCAAAGTCTGCCCGTCAGAGAGAGAGGGCAGGACTGAAAACCCAGTTAGACACCAACACCTACTGCTTCCAGGTGTAACATGCCACCCCGTTTCAGGCCAGCACTATCCGTTGTTGCTTGAGGGAGTGTATGTATGGCTGAAGCCATCCTGTCGCTCAGCCCTTCCTCCCTGTATCTTGAAGACTTGGAATTTCTGCCCGAGCAATTGTCATGGCAGATGTTGTTTTTATTCATCTAACTACCTCATCTGTTTTTGACTATTTGCCTCAATAACAGTCTCTGTCAGTGAGTTCCTTTGACAGGTTTAATTATACGTTGTGTAACAACAGAACAGCGTTTCCAGCATCAGTCACAAACCCTCCAGGACGTGCAGGCTTGAAACTGCCAAATCTAGGCCTGAAAAATCACCTCTGCCTTTCCTACCTGCCCAGCGCAGGGCTCGGCGTTGTGGGGCTCACCTCTCCTCTGTCTGGCAAACACCCTGTGGCTCCTGTTTCTCTGCGCTGCATGAGGTGTTAGTCATACAGTCGTGGGTTGCATCAGTCCCGGAACATAGCTCTTGTTGGAACGCAGAAATACCTCCTGCTCCTATTTCTCATCGGGAAGGATCTCAAAGCGCTTTACAAGCTATAATGATCGCTTAACACGCCATGGAAAGGCAGCTTCCCTTGGGGTGGAGCCTTGCAGGAGTTTGCCAGTCACACGCCAGTGTCACTAACCCAGCACTGAAATGCAGCTGCCTCTGGTGTGGGACACAGCTGCTGTTTAACAGTGTTGCTGCTCAGCAGTTTAAAACAGGACGCAAAGGAGAAGCCCGTAGCCGGCTGAAGGAGTCACCCAAGTTGGCCAGGACACCACTTTTCTACCCAGTGCCCTCTGCATATTCCCACTTTTGTGCTGGGTTCTGCACAGCATTGGAACTTGCCAGCGAGTGGAGCCCGGCTGGGGCCTCAAGAACTCTTTCTTGGGACATCCCAGTTGGGGCTGTAGTTATATAGGGGTCATGCAGCCTCCGCCTTCCTCAGTTTCTTCTGTTCTTCTTCGAGTGCTTGCTCATATCGATTCCAATTAGGTGTGCACGCGCTGCGTGCACGATTGTCGGAAGATTTTTTACCCTAGCAACACTTGGTGGGTCGGCTGAGGCACCCCCTGGAGTGGATATGAGCAACACATCTCGAAGAACAACAGTTACAAAGGTGAGTAACCATCTTTTACCCCTTGAGAGTCCAGGGATGGAGAGGGGAACAAACAGGGTGAGAGGGGTGGGCTGAAAGAGGGCACCTCCAGCAGCACGGTGTTGCAGAACCCTACACCGGGAGGCTTGAAGCAGCCTTGTCACTCGCTCGTCAATGGCTCTTGGTTGCCCTAACGCCGTTTGTTTTATCGCATGACTAAGCGGCTCCGTGTGTGCGCGCTGGTTGGCAAGAGCTGAACGTCTAGTGAGAATTTTATCTTCGGATTTCACTTGTTCCCCAAGCAATCAGCTAATGACCTAGCAGTGTTTGGGGAGTGCAGGGCTGGGACAGCAAGGGGCTGTGAGTGGGGACTGAGGGGCATCAGCAGAGGTAGGTGTGTGCGTCTGTGTGTGTGTGTAGTCCAGAGTTGCAATATCTACGGGGACTGTGTGTCAGGAATGAAGGACATCAGCAGAGCTGAGTGGATTTCAGGACTGGAATAGCGGAGGGAGGAGTCAGGATCGAGGTGCAGTCCCTGCCCCCATGAACCCTCTTCCTAGCTAACGTCCTCTGTCCCGCCTTTGCAAAATCTGCCCCCCCCCCCCAGTTCCTCCCCAGTGGAAGTAGAAACACTGGCTGGAGTTCTCTGTCTGCCTTGCAGTGTCTTTCCAATGCCCACTTCTTGCCCCACATTGGGACCGGGGAGGAGAGCTTTCAGGCCTACCAGCTGCTTGTCCAGGCCATGGATGAGATTGAGAGGAAGACCTTCCAGGAGTGGGCGCAGACCCTGGACAAAGACAGCCTGAAACGCCTGGACACCCCGCTCCTGATCCCCAGCGCCGAGAAGAGCGGCATGCTGGACATTAATTTTGACAAGTAAGCGGGACCGGGCGGGGCAGGCTCAGGCTGGCGCTGGGTGAGACAGGCCTTTCGCGACCGCCTCTGCTTCCTTTTGCAGGGACTTGTTGAAATTATTTGTGGAAATCCATTACTGGGAGCGGCTGCTCTTCGAGATCCCCCACTATGTGGTGGAAGTTTACGACCGGAAGGAGGATCTGCGCAACCTCCGCGAGAACCTGCTCCTGGTTGCCCGGGACTATAACAGGTTTGCCATCCCTGCCCTGCCGCTGCTGGTCGGCTCCCTCTCGGCTTTCCTAGGCAGGGCCTGAGCTCTGTATGGCATTGGCCGTGCTGTTCAGCAGACGGCTGGGAGTGGGACACAGAACTTGTCGCCTACCTGTTGTTCTAGGCATCAGTGAGCAGAGAGAAGCCTGATTTCCAGAGTATGGCCTGTGGGCCACATCTGGTCCGCAGGACCCTCCTGCCCGGCCCCTGAGTTCCTGGCCCAGGAGGCTCGGCCCCTCCCCTGCCGGTGCAAGGCTCTGGGCGGCGGGGAGGCGAGCTCTTGCCGGGCAGCGCAGCCGCAGAGCCGCGGCCTGACCCGGTGCTCTGTGCTGCGCGGTGGTGGGGCTGGTTCCAGCCGGGAGGCACGGCTGCCTGTCCTGGTGCTCTGGGCAGCGCGGCTGTAGTGCCGCCAGCCACCGGAGCTCCAGGCAGCGCAGTAAGGGGGCAGGGAGCAGGGTTGTGGGTTGGATAGAGGCAGGGGAGTTTGGGGTGGTGGACGGGGGCGGGGGTGTGGATAGGGGTCGGGGCAGTCAGAGGGTGGGGAACGGGGGTTGGATAGAGGCAGGGAAGTTTGGGGTGGTGGACAGACCGCGGGGGTGTGGATAGGGGTTGGGGCGGTCAGAGTGTGGGGAACAGGGGGGTTGGATAGAGGCAGGGGAGTTCGGGGTGGTGGACAGGGGGCGGGGTGGACAGATGGTGGGAAACAGGGGGGTTGAATGGGGGCAGGAGTCCCGGGGGGGCAGTCAGGAAGGGAGGGGTTGGAAGGGGCGGGGGGGGGCAGTCAGGGGCAGGGGTTCCAGGGGCAGTCAAGGAGAAGGGGTGGTTGGATGGGACATGGGTCCCAGGGGGGCCGTCGGGGCGAGAAGCAGGGGGGTCAGATAGGGGTTGGGGCCGGGCACAGAGCTCCCCTAACTGGCCCTCCATACAATTTCGGAAACCCGATGTGGCCCCCAGGCCTCTGCTCTAGTCTCTCTATTTCAGCAGTGACTGAAAGTCATTCCCATTTGGTGGCCCCCGTGTAAATGGATTGTAGGGGGATGGGATCTGAATCCAGTTCTTAGCAGAACAGATGTCCCCATCACAAACCCCACCAGGAGAATTGACGCTGATTGGCCCCCGCGTTGGCAGCCAGAACTCCCTCTCCCTGGTGGAGCGGGTCCCTCCAGAGAAGAGCCGAGGCCCATCAGTTGGGGGAGTGTGTGTGTTTTGGGGGGAGGTTGCGTGGAGGACGCACCGTGAGTCAGGCTTCACCACTACCGGTCTGGTACCACCATCCGTCGGAGCTGTCTCATGACTCAACTGTCGGGGGGTGGGGGTGGGGGGAGGGTTTCAATTTGCTTGGCTCCGGTATTTTTAAAAGTGTGACGTGGGGGTGTTTTTCTGCAGAGAAAGTGTTGCTTGAAACAGGTTCGTTTTGGCAAGTGTATTTTTAACGTGACCACAGCGGGAGTGTTTGTGTCAGGCTGACTCGTGGCGCTCAGCTGGCTTGGAACAGATGTAACTGGGTGATCCACATCCTCCCAGGCTGGGACGGGGGTGGCGGAATTCTACCCCCCCCCCCAAAGCCGTCCTGGTCAGACTGGGGTCTGGTCACAGCCTGGCCCGATCTGACTTTCCGATCCCCTCCCAGACCGTGCCGGCTGCATCTCTGAGCTTGTTAACTTCCCGGCCTGGCCCTAGTGACTGAGGAGAGCGATGGCCCCCGTTGGAACCTCCTTTCAGCCGATCTGTAATAATATTAATCCCTACCTCTCAAAGTGCTTTCCAAAGGAGGGCAGGCCCATTTTACAGATAGGGAAACAGGGGCCCGGGGGGAGGGGAAGTCACCCAGCCAGGCCGGGAAGTTAACAAGCTCAAAGATGCAGCCGGCACGGTCTTGGGAGGTGATCGGAAAGACAGATCGGGCCTTGGGGACTCACCCATCTGGAGCCAGGCCCGTTCTGTGGGCTGGTGGGGGAGGAATGCACGACATAGATCTGAATTGCTGATGGGGCTAGAAGCCTTCTCGTCTGCCCTCCTTAGGATCATTGCGATGCTGTCCCCGGAGGAGAGGGCCTTGTTCAAGGAGCGGATCCGATACCTGGACAAGAAGATCCAGCCCGGCTTGAAGAAGCTGCACTGGTCGCTGAAAGGGGCCAGCACGGCCTTCATCAGTGAGTGCCGACTGCACGCCAGCAAGGTGAGCTTTCCTCTGGCCTCCGCTGCCCCCACGGCCAGCCCCCAAAGCGCCATCCTTAAGGCGTCCCATTGACCCGCACTCTGCTCAGTCTGCCTAGGCTTAGGTGGAGAGGGAGAAACTCAGAACACGGGTGTTTGCTGCGTAATACACAGCTGTGGAGGTAGGGAGCAGAGAACCCAGCATGGCAGACGACACCCCCCCGGTGTAGCTGGTCGGGTTTCACCTCCGTCAAACCCTGGAGCCCTAAGGTGCCTGATCGCAGTGCGCCCTGCCCTGAGCCCGCCTTGCTGCCCCTGACCCTCAGGTGCAGACCATTGTGAACGAATACAAGGCAGCCACCCTCACCATCGCTCGCAGTGCCCAGCAGATCAGCGAGGCGCTGCTGGTGCGGATCACCGGCAAGCGGGTCTACAATGACTTGGAGTTTGAGGAGGACCAGAAGGAGCACCGGGCCTGGGTGCAGCAGAAGCTGATGGGTATCCACGAGGAGGTCATCAACATCATGCGGCAAACCTATGAAGTCTTCAAACACGATAGCGCCGAGGTAAGGCCAGGCCCGGGCCAGGCAGCTCCCAGCAGGCAGTGCTCTGGGAGCGGGTCCCAGCATGCAGTGCTTCATTTTGATTCTGTCCGGAGATCTCTGTGTAAGGACCTGTGTTCTGGACAATGTGGCAGAGACCTTCTTCGTCTTCTCCAACGGCTGTCCCTGCCCGTCCACCTACTTACCCAACTCCATTCACTTGCCTCCTTCCAGCACCACCCCCTCCAGGGCAAGAAGCTTCCACAGCTTCCACATTCCTGGGTCTGACCTCAGAGCATCCAGCCTCCCCTTCCACGCCGTGCGCTTCCCGCAGCAAGTCCGCACAGGCGGGGCTCTTGGGGAAGCCAGAGGGTCCTGCACCCCAACTCCACAGTCAGACGTGACTCTCAGCCAGCCAGTAAAACAAAGCGTTTATTAGAAGACAGGAACACAGTTCAACACGGAGCTTGTAGGTACAGACAACAAGACCCCCTCAGTCAGGTCTATCTTGGGGGGCAGGGAGCTTAGACCCCAGCCCTGGGGCTCCCTCCATTTCCCCAGCCAGCTGCAAACTGAAACTCTCCAGCCCCTCCTCTGGCCTTTGTCTCTTTCCCAGGCCAGGAGGCCACCTGATCTCTTTGTTCTCCAACACCTTCAGTTGGCACCTTGCCGGGGAGGGGCCCAGGCCATCAGTGGCCAGGAGACAGGGTGTCGGCCATTCTCTGTGCAGACACCATTGCACTGGCCCTCTAGGGCTCTGCAACAATCATCCCCCCCTTATCCCACCACCTTGATACTTAAGAACTGCATAGGGGAAACTGAGGCACTCGCACAGTATTCAGAGAAAACATTAAGAACATTCCCACTTCGTCACACCCTGTAGGACCCAACAGTTTAGTCTTACGAAGACTGAGGTACTTTAGTCTAATTCAGTATAAGGGTGCTGGGTGAAATGTAATGGTCTGTGATATACAACAGACCCTTACGGCTTAAATTCTATGGCCCTCAGTTTCTTTCTGCAGCAAGTTGTGGGCATAGGGCCCCCCTGGGCATGGCATGAGGCGACATTAGATTAGGGAGGAGGAGGTTGAGTTGCCCCCAGCAAATCGTGCCAGCGTCTAGCTGCTCCATTTTACCCTGCCCCTGTGCCCTGGTATCTGGCACTACTTCCAACAACAGAGTAGGACATTCCCTGGTTGCTTCTATCTCAATGAGTGGCAGTGAAATAGTTACAGCTCTTCAAGGTGGACAGAGCGAGTAGCTACTTGGGTCACACAGCGAAGGTCACCTTCGCAGCCAGAAGGGCCAGTGGTCAGAGCCAGGAGCACAGTTCTGCAGCCCTGACTGTCTTTTACCCTGGCTGTCCCTCACTCTGGTGGCTCCTCCTTGTCTTCGCTGCCTTTCTCAGCCGGCTTGTTTCTCCCCTCAGGTGCAGCAGTACTGGATGGCCTACACCGTCAAGATGAACAGAATGATGGAAGAGGCCTTCAGGCTCAACGTCAAATGGTCCCTACTGGAACTCTCCAAGGCCATCAATGGAGATGGTAAGACCACGCCTAATCCCCTGTTCAGGGTCAAGGTGATCCTACAGGACAACTACCCGGCACCATCTGCACAGGTGAGTCCTTCCACTGCAGCCCTCAGACACCCAGTTGAGCCCCGCCCCAAGGTCCCTGCCAGGAATTAGCAGCATGTCGGGGTGGTGGTGGGGAGTTCAGTCCTGAATTAGTGTCCCCGCAGAAGCACTGCTCGACCAAGGGCCGGTGAGAGAAGGAAGAGCCAATATTACGCATGCCATCAGGGTCAGAAATGGAGGCTGGGATTCCCAGCTGCTCAGTCGTGCCAGGATAACACGTTCACTTCAAGCCTTGTCCTGGCACAAGATACTTGACCTTAAAATCCCGGCTGTCGGATTACCTTCTTGCTTTTCTTTCTCCCTCTAATCCCGCCCACCCAGGACCCTGGGTACATCCACAGACGACAGCTGCCCGTGCTGTCACAGCTTCACTGCTGTTACCAGAGCTAGCTCGGGTATGTCTACACGTGCTGCAGTCACACCTCTCCACTGCAGTGTAGACAGACCCTAAGGGCTTCTGCTGCATGGGGGTATCCAGGGGACAAGGGAGCATGGCCCCATCATCCCTGAGGCCTGGCCTAGCGCTTCCTGGCTGACAGTACGGGCCCATGGTGCCTTTGACCACTACTGTAGGATTGTTGAGTCTTGTGTTGGAGGTACAAGCCAGTGCAGATCAGCCCCACGAGCGAGAGACCCATAATGGTGGCTTTGGGCCACCTTTGCCCTGGTCTTCCCCCAAGCATAGCTGTCAGACTGGGGGGTTTGGCCTGTAACCTGTAGCACTCCTCAAGCAGTGCGTGGGAGCAAGGTGGGGAAGCAAGATGGAAATCAGAATGACGGGATTTTCAGATCCGGGATCTTGCAGCCTGCCACTGCAAGGGCTTTTGCAGACGTGGGAATGGAATAGATTTTCCAGCACTCACCCCGTGGATCGCTTTGGTTTCGCTGAGCAGTCGTTGCCCCTCTTCTGGGTTGGGTTCCTCTCTCCACCGGACCTGCTGTTTTGTGTTTCCAGGTGGAGTTTTCCCCAACTCTGGCCCAGCTCGCGAATATGGTCAATGACATCAGCAGCCACCTCATCACCAGCATCTCCGTCTTCCGCCACCTGCCAGAGATCCTGACCAAACGCAAATTCCACCGCGATCCCATCTCGGTCCTCGTGGGTAAGGAGACCTCCCCCTGCTCTCACGTGCTACCTGTGGGGGAGTCTGCAGCTGCCTTGCTGAGTTGTGCATCCACACTGTCTTGTTCCCGTGATAGGCACTTCCTGGGTAGACCTGGGCTCCGAGACTCGCCGCTGGGGGTTTGAAAAGCCAGTGTAGCGATGCCCTCTGTGTTCAGACCACAACGAATCGGCTCCCACCCTATCCCCGGAGGAGACGGTTCCCCAGCCTGACATTTTCCTTTAGCTCAGTTTCCTCGCCGCTAACACTTTATTTTTATTTATTTTCTCTCCGTGGCACTTGGTAGCTGGCTTAGCCTGAATATAGCCTACATCTGTCATGGAATGAGTTCCTGCCTGCGCACACCCAATCCCCTAGAAGTCATTTCCGTGCCTCAGTTTCCTCCCCTTCTAACACAGGGACAGTATTTCCCAGCGGGCTGGTGAGGCTTGGCAGAACCAGCATGGAAGAGAAGCAAGGGGTTCTGATGGACTAGGACTGGCTGTTTGGGCATCGAAACAGCTGGTCACTGTCCTGTTTGTCCTCCCTCCTCACTCAGAGCGTGATGAGGATATCAAGAAAATCCAGGCACTGATCAGTGGGGGCATGCAAGCAAATGCCACGCACCTCCAGGCGTACCTGAAGACCTGGGATGTCTACCGGGAGATCTGGGAGGTCAACAAGGACTCCTTCATTAACCGCTACCGGCACCTCAACCCACTTGTGTCTTCCTTCGATGCAGACACTGCTCGGTAAGGGAGGACCTGTGTCCATGGATGCTCGAATCCTGCATGCCCCTCGTTGACCAGATGGGTCTCTTGTACCTGTACTGATGAGGGACAAGAGCCTTCAGATTTAGGGAAGTCCACCCTCTTGCCCTTCTGAAATGGACATAGTTCACAAGCGAAGCCAGGCCTGCCCTGTTCAATATTGAATGTGAGATGCAAAGGAAAATCAGAGTCCTGGTGAGCAGCGTGGGTGGGTTGGTAGGGGGCACTCTCCCCACAGATGGTGCTGATCCCCGGGAGGAGCCTGGGAGCGGCGCGGGTGGGTCGGTAGGGGGTGCTGATCCCCCGGAGGTGCCGGGGAGCAGCGGGGGTGGGTCGGTAGGGGGCACTCTCCCCACAGACGGCGCCGATCCCCAGGAGGTGCCGGGGAGCAGCGGGGGTGGGTCGGTAGGGGGCACTCTCCCCACAGATGGCGCCGATCCCCAGGAGGTGCCGGGGAGCAGCAGGGGTGGGTCGGTTCCATTCTGCCGCCCGAAATCGCCCCTGCTGTTTCAACCGCCGCGGTATTGCCTGCGCTTCCTGTTGGAATGTGCTGCGGCCCACCGCGGTGTGTGCCGGTGGGGGGGCCGTGCCCCGCCCCGGAGGTGGCAAGCTTTCCGTGCTGTGTGAATGACGGGGTTGGGAGAGGAAGCAGCAGGAGCAGCTGAATTCTTAAGAAAGCAAAAGTCTGTTTACATGCAAATGTCGCAAGCAATTTTTGTTGTTGTTGTTAAGAGTCAGAGAAACACAGACAAGCAGATCCTTTGTATAGCTTCCCTGCAGGCATCGCGGTGAGGGCTCTGTTAGCGACAAGTGGCTGGCTTAGAAGCCTTTCTTCTCCGGCGCTCAGAGCACCGGATTGGGACTCACAAGACCTGGGTTCTTTTCCCAGCTCCGTTACTAGCCTTCGGGGTGCCCTGGGGCAAGTCCGGGCACCTCTCTGCCTCGGTTTCCCTCTCTGGAAAGTGGGGATAAAGATGCTGCCCTCCTGGGACGGAGGAAAAGCACTAATGGGGTGAGGCGTTCCAGCAGTGAGATCAGGCACTTCCGCAGTTGAGGCCTGGTTGTGTCTTGGCAGTTCTGGTTTGCTTTCCTCAGTCTCTGAAGGAAGATAACAAACGACTAGCAACGGACTCGTGCTGTAAGCAGGTCAGGAGAGAGCCGTGCTGTGAGACGGGCCCTGGCATCGGTTGTTATTACAGTGTAACCACTCCCTAAACCAATTGCATTTTTGCCTGTGGGATACTTTAGATTCCAAGGCCGCTTATGGGCTTTCTACTCTCCACTTCCTCAAATGCGTTTCAACAGTGCGGAGAAAAACTCCCCATTAAAGCCCCCAAAGCCGTTTAGAGCAGCCCCGGGAAGAGCGATTCCACAGCGTGATCTGAGCCTCCCGCCTTGGCATGGCCCAGTTGTGAGCCAGAAGGTGGAACAAAGCCCCAGAACGAGGCCCACTTGAAAACCAGCTGCTCGGAGGAGTGATGCAGGATTAATTTCTTCAGCACAAGCAGCATTTTCCCATCCTGGGTGCTGTGCTGACTCAGCGTTTGACACACACAATTTTCAGGCTCAGTGCAGGACGGAGGTAAATTTGGATCCGTAACTAGAGAGAGGTGGGAGGGACGCTGCCTCCCCATCCATCTCTGCCTGTTCTCCAGAGCTGGGTGCCCCTCTCTGCCTCTGTCTCTTCTGGGGCCCTTTTTGGTTTCCTTGTTTAATAAAGTTCGGCCTCGTGTTTCCAGTGACCTGGAGACAGGGAATTAATTAATGGACTAGTCCGGAAGATTTAATAAGATCCCTCGGGGCTGGAATTGTCCTCCACCTGCTGACCTCGCTTGGATGAGTCAGGAGCAAAGACATCAAAACACGTTTCAATTAACAAATCGTTTGGAGGGAGCGAATTTCTCCTTCCTCACAGCGGCTGCTCCTGTTGCATCGCCATGAAGCATTCCCTGCTCCTTTATTAAATGCTCCTTTTGCCTGAGGCAACTTCAGAATCCCACACAGGGCAGCTCCTGATTGCATTTAGGCTTTCTCCATCCAAATGTTCTCTGCTGGATGAGATTATAATCCACTAATCCAGTGATCCCCAACCTTTTTCGTCTGGCGGGTGCCAGACGACGAGCCACGGAGGACTGTGGCGGCGGACGAGCATCCGCCGAAATGCTGCCGACAAGCGGCAACGTCAATAGGCACCGCCGCCGAAATGCCGCCTAGAAGCAGCGTCATCCAGAGGCGTCGCCGCCAAAATGCTGCTGAAAATCGGCGTCATTTAGGCGGCGATGCCGCTTTTCGGCGGCATTTCAGCAGATGCTCGTCCGCTGGCCAGTACGCGGGCACACTTAGATGCCCCAGCGGGCACCGCATTGGGGACCCCTGCACTAATCTCTGATCGAGTCTAAAATCTAATCTCGTTGGTAAAATGTAATAAATCTATTTCCTCTAGATTCAGTGGTGTTCCCTTTGGAATCTAGCCCTGGTTCAGGGCCGGCTCTGGCTTTTTTGCCACCCTAGGCAGAAAAGCCACCTGCCACCCCCCCCTCCACTCCCCCCCCAGCGCGGCAGGGAAGGGCACCGAGCCCGGCCGCGGCTCCACTCTCCCTGGTGGCCAGAGCGCCGGGAGCAGGGCGGAGAGCCCAGATGGGGCTTTCGGCTCTCCCCTCTCCCCGGCGGCCAGAGCGCCGGGGGAGGGCGGAGAGCCCAGCCGGGGCTCTCCGCTCTCACCGGTGGCCAGAGTGCTGGGGGGAGGGCGGAGAGCCCCCGGCGGTCAGAGCCCCGGGAGGAGGGCGGAGAGCCCAGCCGGGGCTCTCCGCTCTCCCCGACCGACTGGAGCGCCGGGGGGAGTGCGGCGAGCCCAGTCGTGGCCCCGCTCTCGGGCCAGAGCGCCGCGCCGTGCTGCCCCCCTCCAGGCGCCACTCCAAGCACATGGTTGGTGGGCTGGTGCCTGGAGCCAGCCCTGCCCTGGTTAATAGGTTAAGCGAGAACCTAACTGAACTCAGGTTTCAGAGTAGCAGCCGTGTTAGTCTGTATCCGCAAAAAGAACAGGAGTACTTGCGGCACCTTAGAGACTAACAAATTTATTAGAGCATAAGCTTTCGTGGACTACAGCCCACTTCTTCGGATGCATATAGAGTGGAATAAATATTGAGGAGATATATATACAAACA